ATATATCCACAGCTTGCCACTTCAGCTAACCTAGCTATTCCGCTTGCTCTGGGGAGCCGCCCTCTCCACTTCCCTTGAACTGAGGTTACAGGTGACCTGCTGTGTCCACCCAGCATTTATGTGGTGATCTGGACTCCAGTCCTCACCCTCACATGCCAAGTGCTGCTGAGCCATCTGCCCAGACCCAGGATTAACTCTTTAAATAAGCACATCACTGCAGTCTCAGTTGGGTCTGTTTGGATGGTATTTGGGTCATATTATAAACCTGATTCCTTGTTATATTCTTCTTCCTAATGCAGTTTCCTGACTGTAATGGTTTTATCAAGGGAATCTCCATTCTTTCTAACCCATCCCCACTGCCCAGTGACTTCCCCATAAATAACTTTTTTTTTTCTTTTTTTGCTTTTGTTGATTTACTTCTTGGGGTTTATTTTGGAGAAAATTCCCTCGAGTAGGGATTTTCAGCCAAAATGTTTTATGGTTTCATTTACAGCATTTCACAGAAATAAATCATTGCATACTTTTATTGTTGTTTTCTTTTTATCTTTGAACTGGGGTCTCACTGTGTAGTCCAGGCTGGCCTACAATTCTTGAATTCAAATAATCCTCCAGCCTCATACTCCAGGAGAGCAGAGTAGCTGGAACTATGGGTGTGTGCCACATTCAGCTCAATTCTTTTTTTTTTTTTTTTTTTTTTTGGTTTTTCGAGACAGGGTTTCTCTGTGTAGCTTTGCGCCTTTCCTGGAACTCACTTGGTAGCCCAGGCTGGCCTCGAACTCACAGAGATCCGCCTGGCTCTGCCTCCCGAGTGCTGGGATTAAAGGCGTTCGCCACCACCGCCCGGCCAATTCTTTTTTTTTATTATTTATTTTTATGATTTTAAAGTGTGTGTGTGTGTGTGTGTGTGTGTGTGTGTGTGTGTGTACAGATGAATACAGGTACCTGCAGAGGCTGGAGGAGTCAAATGTTCCCGGAGCTGGAGTTCTAGGTGGTTGTGGCTGCCTGACATGGTTACTGGGAATCAAACTCAGGTCCTCTGAAAGAGCAGTCCATGTTCTTAACCGATGAGCCATCTCTCCAGAGCCATCAACTCACTGTTTGTGTGTGTGTGTGTGGGGGTGTGGGTGGGTGGGTGTGTGCGCACGCGAGTGCTGACCTGTGGTTCTCATCCATTCAAACCATTTGAGAATGTGGTCAGATGATTTGAGCTCTTACGGGCTATTAATAAACTTACCAACAGATGACAGTTGAAAATGGAGATTTTTCCCTTATTTATTTTTCCCCCTTGTAAGTTGCCTCCAAACTCCCTGTTCTCCTTCTCTGGGCTTCTGGAGAGGAACACTCCCAAAGCCTCTTGTCTGTTCTCAGAAATTCATCCTTTATTTGCTCTGCAAGGAAGGCCATGTTTGCACTTGGAAACCCAGGACCGTATTGTATGCAGATGCTGGGGTGCCGCCAGATAATTGAATGGAAAGAGTCGAGGCCTTTAAATCATATTTTAGAAGCCTGGACACAAAAGAAGAGTCTCTTAAAATTTAAAAAGAAAAAAAAAAGCATAAAGATTTTGAGATTGAGTTTCCAACTCAAACATTTCCTGTGGAGTTCAGCTGTGTTTCCAAACTCCTGGATGGGGAGGGGCTGGAGTTGAGAGAGGGAAGGAGGGAGGGGCAGAAGTCAGAGATCAAACTGCATGTTCATGAGCCATTGAGAAAAGCGAGTGCATGCAGGAAGCTAGAATAAAGCACAACACGAAAACTCAATCCCAGTGGCCTGGGATAGTCCTAGTAGCCTTAGCCAGGAGTGTTTCTTTTCCCATGTGTAATTCCCACTCGGGCTTTCATTTTAGGATGAGCATAGCTTTAAAGTCATTGTGCGCTCCCTCTGCTCTTGCCCTGTAGGAGAGCAGTCCAGGTGTGATAGGTGCCATTAAAAGCTCATCTTCAACATTGTATGCTTTGTTAGGAAGGGGATGAGGGAAGCCTTCCTGCTGTCATGTCTAGCTTTGAGAGCTTCTTGCACAGTGAACCACTGTGGACTAGAGGGCTGGATTCTCTCCTTTTGAAAACTGCTATAGTGTTTGCAGAGACTTTGGGGAAAGAGAGTCCTGAGGTCCTGCCCAGGCCTCCAGTTTCTGGGCAGGCTCACTCCCCATTCAGTGGGGAGAGGAGGGGATGTCCTGGTACACAGGCCACAGCCCCTTAGCAAGGTTGGCGGTGGGAGAAGGCTGATGTTCGCTGCTGTCCCTGAAGCAGGTCTCCTGCTGAGGAGTGGGAGCTACAGGGGCTTCTGGAGGTTGGGCCTGGCTCACAGGGGCTAACTTGGCTGCTCTAGACTAGAGAAGAAGTGGAGGTCCAGAGGGAGCTGAGAGTCTGATGTCCAGAGACCCAGGATCTGATTCCTGGGGCAGACTGAGGGCCTTGGGAGGCCAGGGAGGTGGGCTGAGGATAAAGTTGCCACACTCGAGGGCTCCCTGGCTGGCCTGGCACTGTGTGGTGTTCATGGCCTGCCCAGCCACCTTCCTTTCCTTTGCTGTTATTTGCCCTTAACCTCAACTGCTCCAGCTCAGCCTTCTGAGGAGGAGGCTTGAGGAGACCTTCCAGAACACTGAGAGTGTTCCTAATAGGTTCTAGACTGCTCCATAGGTCCTGGGCTGCTCCAGCCGGAGGTACCTTGGGCTTGGCTGGGGTCCTGTATTCAGTGACATCCCAACTTGGTACTGTTAGAGAAGAAAGGGTTTGGGGCTGGAGAGATGGCCTGCTGGATGAAAAGCCTGCTATGAAAGCATGAGGACCTGAGGCTGGATCCCGTGTTAAGGAGTCTAGGGTGACCACCCACACCTCTAACTGAGCACCAAGCAGGGAGGTCCCTCAGGCTCCCCAGCCAGCCAGTCTAACCAAAATATTGAGCTGTTGTGTCAATGAGAAAATTAAGGCAAAAATATGTGATGTTATCCTCTGGTTTCTATACATGCACACATATGTGCAACACACACACACACACGCACACACACACACACACACACACACACACACACACACACACACACGGACACAAACACCAAAACACACAAAAAGGGGTCCTTGTTAAAGCATTACATGGCAGCATCAATTCTAAATAAAGCATAAAGGCGGGGGTCCTTTTATAGCCAAGAACCATTGTGGGCGGTCAGTAGATCAAGTATTACCAAAGGGGAACTCTGGTTAAACTCAGCAGACAGAAACAGGACTTTTGCTGGAGACAGGTTAGAGTGGGCAGACATCACCTTGAAGCTGATGGAACATGAGGAACCCCACCAGGATTCTGGAGTGGTCAGATACCACAGCTTAGGGTGAGGGAACAGGTTGCTAAATTGACTTAGCAGGGTTCACGGCTAGCACTGAATTTTACAAGGAAGCACAAAACAGACCCAAGAGAAGGCTCAGAAGTTTGATTTTGTTTGATCAAGCAGAGAACCTTACCTCCCAGCCCTTGGTCCCCTTTCACTTCCTGCAGCACAGTGCTTAAAAGTTACCTCTCAGAGCCGGGCGGTGGTGGCGCACGCCTTTAATCCCAGCACTCAAGAGGCAGAGGCAGGCGGATCTCTGTAAATTCAAGGCCAATTTGTCTACAGAGCAAGTTCCAGGATAGCCAGGGCTACACAGAGAAACCCTGTCTCAGAAAAAAAAAAAAAATTACCTCTCAGGTAGAAAAGGCACCCTTCAGTGGTAAGGCATGTATTTTTAGTATCAGTCTGGGTTCTATCCCCAACACCTCAAAAACATATAAATAAGTAAACAATACTTCTCCCCCTTTAAAAAAAGACTTGTTTTCAGTGTGTGCTTGTGTTCATTCAGTGTGTGCACCAAAGATGAGCATAGGTGTCTGTGGAGGCCAGAAGAGGGCATCAGGTCCCCTGGATCAGGAGTTACAGGTGGTCCATGTCAGTCCTCTATAAGAGTAGCAAGTGCTCCTAGCCCCTGAGCCATGTCTCCAGCTCCTAAATTTACATCTTTATGTTTGAGCCGGAAACACCAATGCTAACGCTGGTAAGTGCACTACACAACTCAAGTTAGCAGACTACTACGTTGGCTTTGTTCGCTTTTAGGGTTCCTGACTACCGTTGCCACGCCACCGCCCCCCGCTCCAAAAAAAAGAAAAGAGTTAATGCCCTCTGTATCCTTAGGGACTTCAGCCCTGGCTCATCTGGGATGAGATGGTGGGCCAGTTGCTCTTCTCTAACCCCAGCTTCTTCCAAGCTTCCATCGCCTCACTGGGGACCGACTTTAATTCTGGCCCCACAAGTTGCCCTGTGGCTGGGTAGCTCAGTGATGCAGCATGTGCTTAGCCAGCAGGAGGTTCTGAATTCAATCCCCAGCAACCAAAGATTTGCTAGGAGGTCAGATCAGGCCACGAGCACGCCAGAGCTGTCCCTGTGAGTTACCACAGTAGCATGCCATCTCTGTGGCATTTCTTTTCTTCTCTCCCATGTCCAGCACAGGGCTGGGCATGCATGGAGACTTTTGTTAAATTCTACTGAACCGAATTATCTAGGCCAAGGATCCCTGGGGAAGGAAGAAAGGAAAATGTCATAGTGAATTAGGCCAGGACCCCAAGACGATGGGAGAAAGGTTCTGTGGAGCTTCCTGGCTGAGGAGAGGACAGTTCTTGGGGGGCCAGAGAGCTACCACAAGGGTCAGTTTTAATCTACCCCTGCCCCAAAGCCTCTCCTGTATGCCCTCCATCCTGCTTCTCTTGCCTGGCAGGCAGCCACCTCGGTTTCTTTTCCTACTGTGCTTGAACGTGTAACACAGCAGAAACCTGACGCCTTCTGTTGAGGACTCATCAGTCATAATCAGAATTGTTCAGTGGTTGTTATTGCTTTCCTTCCCATTAGAAAACCGCCTGTAGAATTTAATGACCTTTAAGACGTGTTCTGGAAAATACCAGAACCGTGGTGGAGTTTTCCACTTCCCTGTTCTGCAACTGATCTTCTCTCCCAACTTTTTGTCTTCTTGGTTCAGAAGTTGGATGGAGTCGCCAAGCTCCGGACAGTTCGGGAAGCCCCCTCCGAGTGCGTCTGTCCCCCAGGTAAGTGATGGTTTTGTTCCTTGCTGGCTCCTGACATCTGGAGGCCTAGCCCTTCTCCCTGTCATGTGGTTGTGAAATACTCAGGTCACCCTCAATCAAGAGGATGGTCTGGTGCTCCAGGCTGTGGCCCTCTGGGGACAATCCTGGGACCTTGCCTCCTTGGCTTCCCCAGGCCACGAAGGCTGGTGTGTTTTGATCAGTGGCATTGGCTGGAGCTCTCAGGGAGTATTAAAACTGGCCTCAAACAAGGCCTCAGTGGTGGGAAAGTACCTGCCCTCTGAATGAGTCTGCAGAATGAGCCAGAAGAACAACCCTCCCTGCTGCGTGATTGCCATGAACCGCGCTCTGATTGGCACAGGGAGGGAACAATTGGTCAAGCCTGAAGTTGGTTTTTGTTGTTGCTGCTTTGGGTCGAGGAAGAGGATGGGACCAGAAAAGTCAATTTGGGCCATTTGGGTGATCCAGTCTTTCTGTTTTGCTGGAGTGGACTAGGAGGGCCATGGATAAAAACTGGGCTTCTGGGTACCCCATCCATGTGGCTCAAATCCAGACACGTAGTGGGAATGAGCATGGAGCCCTGTGTGACCGTGACTAAGAGTTTGGTGTGGAGTTTCTACTCTGGGCTCTCAAGGTTGGACTGAGTCTTGCTTAGGATGCTGTGTGACATGGAGAGGGAGAGGCTCATGGCAACATGTCTCATGCTGGAAGGGGTTTTCTTTGTGTGTGTGTGTATGTATATGTTCATGTATATATGTTCATGTATGTGGAGGCCAGAGGTTGTGGTGGTGTCTTCTTCAGACACTGTCCACCTTAATTTTTGAGTCAGGGTCTCTCACTGAACTTGAAGCTCTGCTGGCTGACCAGGAGCCCCAGGACCCACCTGTGTCTGCCTCCCGAGCACTGGGATGACAGTGAATGCTAACCCACAGAGCTTTTTACATGGGATCTGAACTTGGGTCCTATGCTTCTATGGCTAGCACATCATCCCCTGAGTCATCTCCCCAGCCCTGGGTTGTGACTTTTGTAACTAGTATAGAGCAGGTGGGAGCTGAACCAGTGTTCTCCACCAGCATCTCCCAGTTTACTCCAAGGTACCCAGAAACCATCAGTGTCTCAGGGTTAGGGGCTTCTTCTGCAAAGGTGGATCTGATGGGAAATTCTGTCTCTGGACTCAGTGGAAGATTTCATGGTTGAGTTTGAGCCTTTAGTTGACACTGAGGTTCTGAAGAGGAAATATAATGTGGCCAGTAGTGATTCATGGGTCAGAATTCAGAGATTATACTTAAGTGGGGGAAAATTTAAACCCATCAATGAATTTTAGATGATCTATAAAACGTGTAAATGTGTATCTTTCTTTTCTTCTTTCATTCTTTCTGAGTGTTGTATTGGGGTAGTCTATCTTCATGGGCTCTGATCTAAGAATTAACCTGAGATTCAGCCAAATAGGAGTTAAAAATATCCTGGCATCATTTCCTAACAACTATAATATAACAGCTACTTGTATGTTATAGGTCATCTTGAGATGATTTAAATATACAGGGAGACATGCATAGCCTATGCAAATACAATGCATATGCAAATATGGTGCAAATATACATGCAAATATGATGCATATGCAAATATGCACACAAATACAATGCTGTTTTATGTAAATGACTTAAGCACCCTGTAGAGAGATGGATGGACAGGTTCATCGAAGCACTCTCCCATGGACACTAAGGGACCCTTTTAAATTTCTGTGATTTATGTGAATAAGTGTAGGGGTTTTTTAAAGTATATATGTGTGTGTGTGTGTGTGTGTGTGTGTGTGTGTGTGTGTGCGCATGTAGATCCCCTGGGGTTGGAGTTATATGGGTGCTGGGAACCAAACTCTGGTCCTCTGGAAGATCAGCAAGCGCTCATAACCACTGAGCCACCTCTCCAGCTCCTATAAGTGTGTTTTTAAACTGGGACGCACAGCCATTCACGAGATATCGTTTCACACTTTGCAACCAGCATTTTGGACTTCTAAACTGTTACAGAGTAAAATAAAAAACATCCTAGAATGAAAGTCTGATTATTGACATCTGTAGGTGTGGTCTGCAATGAGACTGTTGCCGGCCACACTGCCTAACAGAATCTTCACCGGTCTCAAATATGGAAGTGAGGTGGAGAGAGGAGGAGAAGGCAGTGAGGGGGGCACCCCACCCTCAGTGCCATGCTTCAGTTGTCCTGAGGGTGCCTGGCTGTGATGTCACAGACAGTGCGGCTCTAGGGATGAAGCAGCAGCATCTCACTGGTCTACTGCCCGCCTGTGTCCACATCTCGCCACCCCCAGTCTTAGTTCTCACTCGAGCCTTTCAAGTCCTTCATCAACACAAAGCCCCAGTGGCCTGGCATGCACTGCCCGAGACTAGAAAAGCCCTTCCCTGTAACACCAGGGGCCCGAGTTCCCTCCCTCTCTTCAAAGCTCTGATCAAAGAGCTCCGAAGACTTTAGGGCTCTGGAGACTCAGAGGACCCTCTGTATCTTGGGTCCCCATCTGATCTGAGACACAGGCAGGTCACCACCCAGCTCCTTCCCACGGCCCAGGGAAACAGTGTAATCTTTTGTCAGAACCCAGCAAAGGGAAGGCACTAAGCGGGGCCAGAGAGGGGCAGCACGTGTGTGTTGCCTGCTGTGGGCGCTGCCTGTCGTGAGCTGGCTGTGCAGGCGCCAAGCGGCGTGGTGGGCTTCAAGCAGGAAGATGGCCCATCCCTCCTGCCCAGATCTATTGTGGGAGGACTTTCAGGGCTGTGCTGAACAGGCTCTGTAGCTTCTGGTGGGTAAAGGGCCCTTGAACCTTCACCCCACCTACAAAATGATGTAGTGTATCAGACTGGTTTCCTCAAAAAGATATACTCAAATCCTGGTGTCTGGTTCCTAAGAATGAGACTTTATTAAAATAGAGTTTTTTCATTAACCAGCAGTTCCTTATCTGGTAGAGGATGCTCTTCAAGACCCTTAGTGAATGCCTGAAGCTTTGGATAGTATGGAATCTCATTTATGTGTATGTATGTACATCCATATGTATACAATTCCAAATATAGTGAATTTATATAATTGCATACACATAAATGTACCTTTTTTTCTACACATACATGCTATGCTGGCTAGTCTTACTTCAACTTGACACAAGCTAGAGTTATCTGAAAGGAGGGAACCTCATTGAGAAAATGCCTCCATAAGATCCGGCTATAATGAATTTTCTTAATTAATGATTGATGGGGAAGGGATCAGCCCATTGTGAGTGGTGCCATCCCTGGGCTGGTGGTCCTGGGTTCTATAAGAAAGCAAGCTGAGCAAGCCATGGGGAGCAAGCCAGTAAGCAGCACTCCTTCATGGCCTCTGCATCAGCTCCTTCTTCCAGGATCCTGCCCTGTTTGAGTTCCTGTCCTGACTTCCTTCAGTGATGAACAGCAATGCTGAAGTGTTAGGCAAATAAACCCTTTCCTCCCCAAGTTTCTTTGGTCATGGTGTTTTAGCTCAGCAACCTAACTAAGACTTATACCTGTGGTGAAGTTTGACCTATAGATTAGACAGTAAGAGACCAGCTATCAAATACAATAGATATATTGTAATAAAGGTTATGTGAACGGGCTCTTTCTCTCTCAAAATGTCTTATCATACTCTCTTCTTTTTATCTGAAGGAAGCACTTTGTAGCTTTCCTTGCAACATCCAAATTGTCAGCTCAATGCTCTCGCACTGTGGGGCCCATACTAAAATAAGGGTTACTTGAGCACCAACATTGAGGTACCATGACAACCAGTGTGGTGAGCAGGAGCAGGGTGATGGGAGACTTCACCATGCTACTCAGAGTAGTGTGTAGTTGGACATTCTTGAATGACTTATTTCTGGAATTTTTCATTTAAAGTTTCTGGACCTTGGTTGGTGGTGGGCATTTGAAAACGCAAAAAGTAAAATCTCAGAGATGGGAGGTTTGTAATAACTAAGATTAGAATCTTGCAGCAAGATCTCCCATAATCAGGGTGGGCCCTATTCAGGGCCCTTGTGCCCTTAGATGAGACAAGAGGGAGAAACATGAGACACAGAGATGCATAGTGAAAGACCACGTCAGTGCAGCCAAGACAAGACTGGTACCATAGCAAGCCAGGGAACGCTTATTTTCCTCAGGGCTTTCAGGGGAAGCTGTCCTGCAAACACCCTGAACTTCTGACCTCCCAATCCAAGAGGGGTAATTTGCTCTTTTTATACAACTGATTTGTGGCAAATGTTGCTGCTACAGCCCTAGGGATGAAAACAAATGGGAGCAATAATCACCCCAAAGAAACCAAGCATGGCGGCGCATGCCCGTAACCCTGTGTGGGTGCTCCCGGGCAGCACGTCCTGTGGTTGAACTTTCATGCCCACCTGCTCACCCATCCCTCCATGACCCTGTGCCACGGGTCACACTGTCTGCGCTCTCGGGTGTGTTGGTATCTTCTCTCTTTACTTTACGTAGCCGAGGGTTTTTAAGTGTAGTTGAGGTTTTAAAATGTGTATGTATTGAATGGGGAGTAAAGCATGACATGCTGGGTAGTGGTAGTGCACACCTTTAATCCCAGCACTTGGGAGGCAGAGACAGGCAGATCTCTGTGAGTTTGAGGCCAGCCTGGTCTACAGAGTGAGTTCCAGGACAGCCAGGACTACACAGAGAAACCCTGTCTTGAAAAACAAACAAACAAATAAATGAAATTTGAAGCACTACAAAAGGTTATGTTGGAGCACAGTCCTCACACACACCCAGATTCCCTCCCCATTTCAGACCCCCTCCCTTCATTAGGTTGCTATATGTCCTTATGATTAGAATGTGAAGTGTCCCCCACAGACTCATATGCTTAAACACCTGATCCCCAGCAGGTGGCGCTATTTGGGAAGGTTGTGGAACCTTTGTGGAGCCTTGCTGGAGGAAGGACATTCCTAGATGTGGGCCTTGGGGTTTTAGAGTCTGGCCCCAGTTGCTGTTGGCTCTCTGTTTCCT